AATAAATAAAATATGTAAAGGCCAGGTGCAGTGGCTTACACCTGTAATCCCAGTGCTTTGGGAGGCCAAGTGGGGAGGATCACTTGAGGCCAGGAGTTCGAGACCAGCCTCAGCAATGTAGCAAGATGCTCATCTCTACAAAAAATTAGCAGGGTCTAATGACTTGCCTGTACTTCTAGCCTCTGGTGAGGCTGAGACAGGAGGATCATGTAAGTCCAGAAGTGCAAGGCTGCAGTGAGCTATGATTGCACCACTGCACTCTAGCTTGGGTGGCAGAGCATGACCCTGTCTCTTAAAAAAAAAAAAGGGAGAATTCTGATGATAAAAGAAGGCAAGTTAAATAATAAGATTACATGAAGGTAGAGGGGAGTTCCACTGGACATCTTTCCTTCCTTTCTTTTTCCCAGCCAATCAGAAGCACTGCATCAAAGTCAGAAATGGAAGTCAGTGAAACAAATAAACAAGAGGATCCTGTCAGATTGTAAAAGGATTACAGCAACATCCCACGACTGTCCAGCATGGGTCATGTTAGCATACAAGCAATGATGTCTGCACTGAACCCTTCCTGCAGTGGACTGGGTCTTTGTTTCCTTTTGTGTCTTCTCTAGATCTTGTTTTTCCAGGCCTTCTAGCAATTCTATGAGCTACCCAGTGTCTTTTTGGTGTACTTGTTTTCCATTCTAAATTGCTATAATTAGTTTCTGTTGCTTACAACTAAGATCCTTGTAGTATGCCTTATCCAGGCCCCTGCTGCACAACCCTGAGGTCCCCTCCACCTACTGACTGCAGAGGATAGGATGGGCCAAATGCCAGCCGCATAGTTCCTGACCTCAGGTACCAGGCTGCAGCCACAGTGGAGGGCTCCTCAGTCTTCTGGAGCTCTGAGGGCAGGTTGGAGGAAAGGAAGGACAGGGTTCTGCCTTTAGATCAAAGCACTATGGATTCAGAACACGGGGAGGCTGTGGAGCAAGCCTCCGTCTATCAGAGCAAGCCTCCAGCATGATCCAGTACTGCTCAGGTGAAGATGGACACAGCTGACACATTTCCTCTGCAGAAGAGATGTGACTCACAAGCTCTTCCCCAACCAGCTGCTCATGGAGGAACATGTCAAGAGCTTAGCATTGTCATCCACTGCCTCGGCTT